GAACAGTTAACATATTCATAAAGCTAAAAAAAAGTATGTCTGTAACAATAACGGATCAAAACAGAGTAACTGAACAAAAACAACAATAACAGCCTAAACTGTCTTTCTGTGATATATCACAGTGTTAGAGACAGTAGTAAAATGAATATATGTTTAAATCTAGCTTTCATTCACAGTTAAGAACAGAGGCAGCTTCCAGGACAGTGTTACATTACATGTATTTGTCTGAAGCAACTTCTCACACACATACACTGAGATTCACACTTAAGGATACTTTGACATGCCAGGAATTGAACTACCATCTCTGTGATTTACAGGCATCAAACTGTAGCTGCTCGAATAAGAAAACAAATGTGACGCTCAACAATACATTTCGCAGATGCTTTTGCTTGTTTTCTTTAAGGAATCAAGCCAACAACCCTACCACTAATGGATGTGACACAACTTCCCCAGTATCTTACAATATTAGTTTCCAGTTTCCTCTAAGTGTGTTTGGGAGCAGCAACTGCACGTCAGATTTGCCGTTTTTTCTCTGCTGTGATGGATAAACACAACTCAGCAAGCATCATGTCACAATGTTAAAGCCCTCAGACTTTATTTGATTCAAAGCTGTTTCTTTAGCCTCATGTTATTGTCAAATTGTGTGAAAACAAGATGGTGTATCATTGTCTGTTTTTAGAATTGAACTTTATCTAGCTCATCTCCCTACTGTTCCCACTGAGTTACAGTATATAACAACCAGCATGCACAGAGTCCTGTAGGCAATAACAAGTGGGCTGTCAAAGTGAGTCATCTCTGATTTGTAGATAACGTAAAGGAATTTAAGTGGTTGCCAAGGCTACTGACATGTTATCAGGATTTTAAATTTTAAATGTCCGCTATATGTGAGCAGGGAAACAGTGACAGATAACCATCTGTAGATGAACCAGTGAGAGGATTTCCTTCAGCCTACAGTGTGAATAACTAAGAGTAAATGGCCTGCTTGGAAAGTGAAAACGGACTCATTCAGGTTTAAGCAACACATGAGATAAGAGGAAATCAACCTTATCTGGATCCTGCAAGAAATAAAGTGGGATGAAAACCATGAAAACAAAATATGGAACAATACCATTATTGAACATTACTGTTTCCTGTTAGCTGGTCTTATCAAAGTAAGTTGTAACTGTAGCTTCTTTCAACTTCCTCTTTCAGTCAAGCTACTATTTTAGCCTCAATTTGAAATACCTGATGAAAGCGTACACCACTGTTATGTCTATTAATAGTTTGGTCTAAAACTTTGGTCTGCTGTGCAGGCAGAGCAGTTCATATACGTAAATGCTTAAGTGTTTATATTTATCAATAAATATATGTCCAAGGCCTCTGCTCTGCAGCAGCAGCTGGTAAAACCCTAGGACCTCTTCTCTCTAATGAATAAGTAGTGAGACAAACAGCAATGGGCAAAGCCATTCAAAGACTTCCCTTGAGGACATAAATCAATAACCTTCAACCTCAGTGCTTCCTCTGTGAAGCGATGCTGCTGCAGCCGTCAGATCACGAAGGGCTGGATGGGAGCATGTTTTCTACCAGAGAAACAACTGCAAGAGAATCAATGATATGGAGATGATATGCAGGAAAGGGCCACAGGCTACATTCAAACCTAGGACTCAGCCTTGGCACATGGGGCATGAGCTCTACCAGGTGAGCTACCAGGAGGGCCCCGAACATCTCTGGTTTTGGGTTTTGCCCTGTTAAGTATTTAAAACTAAAGTGCCTCAGTTTGAATTAAGTTTCACAAAAATATTGAGGGAAATATCATTTCTATACAAAGCTCAACGTTTTCCCCATTAGTACATTATTACTCTCCTCCTTCATGTGTGGCCGTAGTCTGCTGGTGGTTATCAGAACCCACCTCTGAGAGTGTAATAGGTTTCACTATATGCAATAAAAAACAACAACGTGCTCTCTTAAAAGCATCAGCATTACAAGTCTTAACCACTCGGTAGATCAATGGCCCCTCCACATTGTCCCACCTGCCCCTCGGGTTCAAACAACCTAATGTTGAGCGCACACTCACACATACACATTCTAGACAAACAACCAAACAACCAAAGTTTAATGCTGTGTCAAGAAAGAACGCTTTGTATTGATTCCCAGAGTGCAGAGAAACACATTTTCTGCCTCAGTCTTCTTATCTCAACTTCAACAATATCCACATAAAAGAGTGCTGACAGGATGTGGGATGAGGACAAAACTGAAGTTTACTCATTCACATTTGTCAGTCAGCAAAAATCGTGTAGTTTTAAAGAACATTACAGCTTGTAAGCAACACCAGATCCAAATAATACTCTACTAGACCCACCTGGCATGGCCACATGAGTGCTGTAATCCATTCTCCTTACAATCTGATCCTACACAATCAACACAGATGCTATTTCAATTAAACATTCACCGATCAAATAGACTGCAGTGTCAACTGACCACCATCTCTGTATATGAGCCACCAGATTGTATGATAAATATTTCCAAGTTAACATGTAAGTGAGTTTTAATCATTGTGTGTTTCAGTCACACTTGTACTACAACCAGATGTGAACCTGGACATTTTAACATGTTTATTTTTTGGCATTTTGCTTTAGATAGAGATAGTAGAGAGTGACAGGACAGGCTGAGAGAGAGAGAGAATGAGAGGGGGGGGTAACAGGACCCGGGCCTAGATTCAAACCCAGGTCGCTGCAGTAAGGACTCAGTCTTCATATGTGGCGAGCTAATGCTCAACCCAGAGATTTTTAACATTTTAAATTCCACATGGAGACACTTATTTCATGCTACCTGATAAAATTGTCACTAACCAGGTGTGATGTATGGTTTGCAAAATTGAGGTTGGTCTAGGGATGTGTCCAGATTTTATGATTAATGCATACAGCTATTAGAGTTTATATCAGGAAACTGCATACAGCCTAGTGTATAATTTTACTCCAAAACTGAGGGATTTCTCAACTGAATATCACACTCAGCATCAATCTTATCTGATACCTAGTCCACTGTGGGGGATGTATGTGGCACCTGATTCCTGGTAAAAGAGATAGAACCGCTCACTGAGTCACAAAACCTGCAGGATTTTACAGGTTTGCCTGCTTAAAATCATCAAGCACTATTAGAAATAATTGATAACAGTCTCCATTATCCACAGCATGAATTACATAAGGATTTTCTCAGAGCAGCAGCAACACACAGTCTGTAGGAGTCACTAACGACACTTCACTTGACAAGACAGATGACTTCACTGGGAGCTTCTCAGGTTCACAGCAGCACTTAGGCAATTAGAAGGAGACCCAGACGACAGGAGTTTTAAAAAGAAACAAAATATGAGGACAGATAAACATCCAAACTCGAGTTATTCAATGCATCGTAGTAATTAAGTTAGTCAGAAATGAACAGACAATGAGCATACAACCACCAATCCTCTCAGCCAATCCACACACACTTACGGTTGAACTCCCTGCGGCAGACATGAGGCCTCCAGGGTCGGTTTCGCATCCAGTTCAGGCGTCGAGGCAGCTCCATGATGCCAAGCTGGTGCCAGTGTGTAATGGCCACTCACCCATCAAGAGCGGCACCCAGGTTGTTCTGCCCATCCCCAAGACGGATACTCCCTCCAGATCATTAGTAGATGCCAACTAGCACCTTAGCAGCCTGGACCTTTATAAAGCCAATGTTTCACTTTGTCTGCAGCCTGTCCTGCACTCTCTGGGAGAGAGCTGTTACAGTAGCTGCTGTGGTGCTCGGCTACATTTCCCCTTCGCTGCTTTATCTTTTATGCATGAGTCAGTGGAACCCAACTCCCTCTGTCCCGGGCAGGGAAGGAGGTAGGCCTCTCCCCATGAACGAGCTCCTAGCTGTGGGCAGCATCTGAAGCGAAGAGTGCACACCTTGCTGAAATGTGATGCCTCTGCATCGAGCGCCCCCCGACAGACAGGAGGTGGGACTTGGTCAGATACCTGAGGAGGCTGGAAGGAGGACGGTCAGACAAATACACAAAGACATGCTCAGTTTCTGTGCGTACATGTGTGTACATACAGACAGCATTTGGTCTATAAATCTATGAATATTGGAGCTGAGTCAGAACAAACAAGTATAAATGTAAAATCTACATCGTACAGATTATTCACGACTGGATTTCTCCTCTCTGGGATAGTTAATGTTCACTGCAACCCCAACGTTAACATGTTCTCCTGCATGTGGCGTGTATATTACATACAAGATATCCACTCCTCCTACTGCAATACTGCAAGAATCTGCTATTCTTTCACTGGATAAGTTATCAGAAAATGTTTTGTGGATGAAGAGAATAGGGATTCATACCATACAGATAAAGTCTCTACACAATCTAATCTTATGGAGATTTTGTATTGCATTCATCTGCTTCTATACAGGTATAATCTGGTTTTAAGGGGTAAATGTATAAATCAATCTAATAATCTTTCATCACAAAATAGTCCAATCTGGTTAGCTACATAAGAGATGTTTTCTATAAAATGTCAGAAAATAAAGTATAAAATACCCATCAAAATGTCCATCAAACTTTCTACAAATCCTCACATTTACAAAGCTGAAACAAGTGAATGTTAAATATTTTTATTTGGAAAATTACTCAAAGATTAATTATCAAAATAGTTCCAGATCAATCTTCAGTCAATAGATCAATTGTTTCAGCTCTAATTTATACCCCTATAACTATACCCCTTTTTGTCCTGTACAAAGAAACCAATTCTATTAATCTTCAAATTAGAATAAATTTAACAGACGTTTGGTCAGCAGCTTCAATGCAGTTTATAGCAACCCATTTACAAAATGTACCCAGAGCTATATCACGGGTAACAGATCAATAAGTTGCAGTTTGACAGGATTTTATAAAGTGTTACAAGATTATGACCTCTAGTGGCTGTGTGCTGCCCATTGCTACTAAAGGTTGGACGGGTCTATATTTCCAGTTGAGGTAGAGGACACAGTCAAAGTTACTGAGACGCACAGTCTGTTTTGCTTTTATTCAAATAAAACAACACATTCCTGCCTCAGTCTGAGCAAACAAGACACGAAAAGTATATCCTGCCATTTGGTTTGTCCAAAATATGATAAATAAAAACAGTCAACAATTCTACACATACACAAAACACAACCCAACCCAACCAGAACGCCCAAATTGGTACCTGATGAAATACATCAAATATAACATTCAAGTTTCTGAGTCTATAATAAGTCATGTAACATGACAGAATATGAAAAATACATTGTAAATATTATGTGTTTACTGCAGATAGATGTTGATTTTCCTTTCAACACACACACACACACAAAACTGACTAGTATAAATGATGACTTTGACCCCAGAGAAAGCAACATTCAACAAATATGTGTGCTTCAGTTGGCTGGTGTTGTGGAAGTGCTTTTATCAGCATGGTTCAATCTAAGGCCTGAATATTTCCAACTGACAGTTAACTACAACATCTGAAGCTGATTCATTTTTAAATTATTATTTTTTTTTTTTCAAACTGAGCACCCAAAGAACAGTTTGGCAAACCCTACAGCAGCGTGTCAGAATGATTGTGCTCAAGACACCGTACACAAAAGCAACGTTACAATATCAAAAATAGACACGGCCTTTGGCAGACCACACTCACAGAAGGCACGTACAGTTCATAAAGACCACCGTACACTGCAAACACCACAGTTACTTTCTATCTGTAGTTACAGCTATAGTTCTCACTAGGAAGAAGAGACACTTTGCTACAGGCTCACTGAGCATAGAGATGGTCCAACTATTAACCTGTTGAAGACCTTTGGTTATGCACTGTGAATAAATGGTCCAATTAGTGATTATGTGATTATATATATATATATTCAAAAAGGCAACATTACATTAAATATCCCATCTGTGATACAAACTCTCAAGGTAAGAGTGGCTAAAAAAAGAAAGATAAATATCAGCAACTACATGTGCACATCAGCATGGTTGATCCTGAGGTTTGTATCTATAAAGACCCCGTTCTGAAGGTACTTCAAACAATCAAGTTTTTAAAAACTTTTCAGTTACACTCCTCACACCAGTTTGTGTTTGGAAATGGCAAAAAAAAAAAAAGAGAGAACAAGGTAACAAGAGGACAGTAACTGCATAAACACACAAGTTGCAGATGGACTCTTGAATGACACTTGGGAGACAAACTACAGCTCGTCTCTGGAAGTTAAGATTAGCTACCACTAGGAGGCAACAGAAATCAAATATAGCCCTGAAGATACATTTAAATGATTTGGCCTAAAGATAACATTTCAAATGCATGTGAACAGTGACAGATTTATGATCATATTCATAGTAGGATCAGCACTTATAAAATGAAACCACTTAAAGTCAACTGACACAAGAAGTAACAGCACTTGTAAATAATCTCTTCCCTATTCATAACTAGCTAATTACTACAAACCCTCTACACCCGCCCAGTTGGCCCTTCACTTCAGTAATAGGTCATAATAAAGCTTTTCCATAACAAAAAAGGTAGCTGTAAAACAAAACAGAACATGCAAGATGTGCAAATTTGCAGCAGTTTACAGAGGTCTGTTAACAAGTCCAAGAACAATGTTATTGGACATTTTCTGGCTGCCATACAATTGATGTATAAACTCTAGCTAAAAAACTCTAACTATAACTATAATTGTGACATACACACTGGCAAATAACCTGCCTGACGTTGATGCAAATCCATCAAACCTTTAAACACAAGCAGTGGAAGGGTCTTTAAGTCTGCACCTTTTAGCATTTAAACCAGTGGCTGGGACTCACCCCATTGGGTCACCAGATAAACCTCATTGTGAGCGACAGGATTTAAAAAATATATATTTTTAAGACTTTATATTTGTGACTTACTGAGTACTATTATGATCTTAGGTCCCTTAAATGTTCAAATAGTAAGAAGAATTATTTGTTGGCTGTATTGGCCACCATACTGTGACATTTGCAACCTTGGAGGGGTCAGTAACTTCATATTTCAGTTGGGACCCACTGGTTCGAGCTTATCTTTCACACATTCACATAAGCTACAGTAGCGTGCTTAACATGTGAGACGTGAGGCAACACATGTACGACATTCGATTAACCTTTTTTCAACTCCACATATGTATTTTCTGTAACAACCTCCTGTTTGTGAATAAATCTCCGCAGGCATCTTTGCTGTGTCAGGTCCTTCTGGATCAGGTTATTTATTTTCCATTTGCTGCAGTGTCACCCTAAATCTTTCGGTCAGCTTACGTACGTGTGTGAATTGCAGTGTATGGGCACGTGTGGAGGGACAACCAACACTGCATTGTGCAATAGCATGTGAATGTGCACGAGGTTCGCCGAGTTAATCTATACAGTGCTGTTTGTTGGAGGGTTATCATGTACAAATTCTAAATCCTGCCTCTTTATTTCTATGGCACGTGTGAGAGAAAGAGTGTGTTGAGCTCATCTCTCCAGTCTCTCAATCGTTCTTCCTACAACCAAATCAAGCTATACTCCTCTAAATACTGATTGTCTGCAGCTCTTTCCTTTGTGTTCATTCTTCCTCTTCCATCCCTCCATACAGTACCACCCGAGTCCTTTGTTGCTCTATCATTCGACCTTTTCTGGATCTATATTGTCCAGGTCAATATCAGGCGAGGCCACACAACACATGCACAGTTTTTGGGTGTATAGGGAGATCCGATCTGCAGTGACAGAAAAAAAAAAAAAAAAGATTTGCACTCAAGAGATGATCTTTAAAATACAGTAAATTGTAAATTAGTTTTATAACAAACAGCCTTAAGCACTGCTGGTTTAAACATTTTAGCATAACATCAACAGTACTATGAAGAGACATTCCTCAATAGCAGCCATTTTATACTTTAACTACAGAACCCTTTACAGTACGTGGGCTCTAGTACGTTTTTAGTGAACTTTGAAACACTAATCTCAAATCACTCGTCAGCTCTTAACTACACTAAGAGGAGCTTTTGCATGGTAGCTGGTCTATATGCAACTTAAGACCGGTAAGCTACTTTCAGAAGTGATCCATAATATTATAAAACCACATTCACTCATAGGGAAATTCTACAGCCTACAGTATGTCTCAAGACATTCAATGTTTTTGTGCAGTAAGAAAAAGCATCAATCTTGCTTTGTAAGTCTGTAGCTTTTTACAATTATGTTCTACAATGCTGTTTGCGGACGACAATTTAAACCTTTAGAAAGTCAGACATGTTGGTACCCATGGGTGTCTGTATGAAGGTTGAATGGTCATGATTAATTGTGCTCCGATCAGGGTTTTCGAGGCTGATCACTAGAAGCAGTATCGGCTGATACCAATCACCGGGTCCTACACTTTCTCTCACACGCCGTCTTGCCCCAGCCCCGCCTCTTTCTGCTTCTCCCACCAAATACAGGCTGTATGTGTCTGCTTCAATCAAAGCAGTATCGAAGACTGAATAACCTTCTTGTGGAATAAAATAAATGCGTCAGCTGATCGGCTCTTCTTATCGGTGTTTAGTAGTTTGCCGATCAAACTAATTAGAGTGAATATTGGCCGATTACTATCAGTGACGATCAATCGGAGCACCCTTAGTCATGGTTTCCATGCTAAGCTAAATTTAAAACTTAAATGATTCTAGCAAAATAAAATGACTGCTGGCAAAACCACTGCTGTGACATACGGACAGCATCAGAAGCTTCTTACCAAGCACTTTTCCGAGGAAGGCCGGTCTGGAGCTGGCCGGCAGGTGGATGCAAATGTAGTAGACCGGTGCACCAGACAACGCCACAGCAATTCCCACCAGAGAGTTGATGGTGTCACTGTAGAGGGGAACCACTACCAGGAATATGCTGCACACGCAGTAGACGATTGGGAAGAATAAAGACAGCTGCGGAGAGAGGAGGATGACATGGACAAAGTAAGAAAAAAGTGCAAGTAGTAAAGAAGAATAGGGGTAGCAAAAGGTTAAAACTTCAAAACAGTTACATTAACAAATACAAATATTAGATTTAAACCATATCCCTGTTGATTTAATTGTGGCTCTAATGGCCCTTAAATTGCTCAGCCAGCAGTGCAGTCACTTTTATGGAAAGAGAATCAAATAAACAGTTATCAGATTCAAAACATCAAGGGCTTTTAAGATTAGTCATAACTAATAACTAAAGCCATTGCTGAGGGTGCTCATGTCTACAATGGAGGCACTGTGGATGGGTAAACAAACATAAATAAGGGTCCAAAATGCTTGAAAGAGAATAAAGCACCTTTTTTATCTGATCCTAGAGTAGAGATAACAGCTTTTTGTATCCATTTACTTTTTATGTTTACTGTTTATAGAGTTTTTTGTTCAGTCAAAGCATCAAATGAGGGTTGTCATGGTCAATGATATGATGAGAAATCCACTGGACTTAATGGGGTATAAAGAGATGTTATAATACAACACCTTTGGCCAAAGAGGGTCCCTGTCTACCCAACATACATCTCTGACTCGGTGAAAGCAAGGGGAAAGACACGGTTTTATTTCTTTGGGCAGAGTTGCAAGCAGGCAATGTCCTGAGAGTGCAACCCAGAGCCAGATGATTAAAATTACCTCCCAACCACAGTGTGACTTTTTAAAAATAATAATTCTGTGTTTGTATTTGATATGGTTCTTTGTGTGTGGTTGTATTCAACTAGCCAATCAGGCTGCAGCTGTACCATTCAGCAATTCAGGCTTAAGTTCTCTCGCACTTAGTCGCCAGTCTGTTTTCTTGCAGCTGTGACAGACTGATGAGGAGAACAGTATCGATATAACAGGAAAAAAATAACTACATCAATCATATACAAGTGGTTTGTAAAGGTCAAAAATAATAATACTTAAAATAATAGCCTGGTTTAAGTTCACTTAGTGAACATTTATGAAGCTTTATATGTTTACTTGTCACTGTGGTTACCCATCTCAACTAAATTTCATGTCTCAGCATGTTTCATACGACTCTGGTCTATAGAGAAACTTGTGTGTGCCTGGAAGGCCGAGTCATGCAGCATCAATCTTTTACCTTAACAGGTCGGTGCATATCCGGAAATTTGACGCGAAGGTATATTTGGCTGGCTATTGACAGGCCGATGAACAACCAGTAGTTAAAACTAAAGTAGTTGATCAACTGGAAAACGTCAGGCACAGACAGGTAGAATAGAGACATGGCACCCTGAGAAAGAGAAAACAAAAAACACAAAGAAACATTGAGTTTGGTTACATGCACGCATCAAGGACACAGGCATCCAGAGGTGATCAGAGTATCCAAATACATAGTTTAATTTAAAAACCGTGATACTAACATTGAAAAGCAGGGCAGGAATTGGAGTGAAACGCTTGATGTGGATCATGCACAGGACATTAGGTAGGTGGCCTTCTCTGGAACCAACAAAAAATAACCTGCAGGACAAGAAGAAAAAAATGGTGAAAAAGACTTTTAAATACTCTGAACAGTTCAGGCATCAATAGGATTTTGTAGGATAGTGAGGGAAATTTGCATTAAAGGAAAACTAATCAGAGTAGCTTTAGGTGTGCTTGTATCTACTGACCTGGAGGCAGCAATAATGGAGGAGTTGAGGCCTCCGTAGCAGGAAATGGCCACAGACAGAGGGATCAGCCATCGAGCCCAGCCCAGAACCTCATCTGCAAACGTCTGAGGAGACATTCAACAAAGTTCTTACTGTTCACATGAATCTAGTAGGAAGATCAGTGGCAGTCAACATTTAAACACAGAATTAGAGTGTCAGCAAATTACAATAAAAACTACTGATTACGCTATATCCTGATAATAGACATTTAAAAAATATTAGGTTTAGTAATAATGTAACTTAAAAGTGCACTGATGTGTGCCAATAATTAAATTATATTTTAATTTATTGGACTAACTTGCTAATCTCAATATGTAAACACTGTGACACGTTTCTTGCCATTTGCCTTGTGAGGTAATATTTCTGATTATAAAAGGTCAGTGCAGTTCCTAAAAAAAATTACCAACAGTTTTCTTCTGGCCACCTGTAACTTCTGCTTTTAATTTCCTAGTTACGAATGAAGCCAATAAATAAAGTCAACTCAGAGACAAAAAGAAAATTATAGCAGCTGCAGGTCTGCACATATGAGAGTGCTTCCTTTGACGGAAGATCAGAAGGAAAGAAGAACAAGAGGAACAAGAAGAACAAGAAAAACAACCGTAGCTGCAAAATCTTGTACTGCTGCACCATTTGGGGCCTCTGTGTCTTTGGCAGAGAAAAAGTTAAGGAAGCTGTGAAGTGGATTTTACTTATAATTACCTAATCTCTCTGAGGCTGTCTACGCATGATAAAGAGTCAGAGCTCGACTCGCCAAGTGGTGACTAGAAAGTCGGTGCCAAAAGGTCAACACAACGCTGATATGTCGTCATACAACTGAATTAAACAACTAAAAACTGATACACACTTACGTGCAAGTTAGAGTAATATCTAGTTAAAGCTTCTCACTCAGGATTTGTAAATAAAAAGGTGTGTTTTACATATTTTATTCAGCAATTTAATTTTGATTATTTAATTAGATATCAAAGTTTGTGTTAGGTACTTCAGGTCTCTCAGGTTGAAATGCCCCTTTAAAGAAAACACAACACCCAGAATACCTATAACTATGAAGAAAATATGCAAATCACTATAAAATCTCACTGATTGACT